TGAAACCGGGCCTTAGTGAGGAAATTTTGTAGTTCTTGTAATGGCCACTAGCGTTGCAGTCTATGTTCTTTTGGGGGCGAGGGACGCTGGAGGCCGAGGAGATATGTCAAGTTTACCGTGCATGGGACAAAGACAGACAGATAATAGATATCCCTCCCGGCCTCCAGCGTCCCTCGCCCCCAAAAGAACATAGACTGCAACGCTAGTGGCCATTACAAGAACTACAAAATTTCTTCACTAAGCGACCTACCCCCACCATATGAGTTGCAAACCTGTATGTAAGATCGTGGTGCACGTGCAACTACTGGTTGTGCTCTGATTACGGGCAGTTCGGTTATATTCTCCATGCCATAGAACTTATAAACATGGAAGGGGAATAGCATATACTCTCCGTGAGCTGAAACTGAGTCCAACATCTGTGTGACAAGGATAGATAGAAGATGACTTTGGTCCGTTATGCGCATGCGTTAAATTCGTTGCGCATGCGTTAGTGTAATCTCGTTTTGGCCGCGCATGCGTTATTGTAATCTCGTTTTGGCCGCGCATGCGTATTTCGAGGAAAAGTCATAGAACGAGACAGAATTCTAGTTTCTTCTGTCTCACTTCTTGGCTTCACTTGTGCCGATCCGTTTCCCCTTCCATGTTTATAAGTTCTATGCTCCATGCCTACTGCTTTTTCACTCCAGTTTATTACCTATCCTAACCTAACTTTCTCATAAAACAGAAAAATATCCATGTTTTAATACAACTTTTGTCACATAATTTTTCTGTTAAATCATAACTTCACATAATATTTGAGTGTAATCGAATAATTCTTCCAGACTTTTTCGAAAGAAAAAGAATCGCACGATGGATTATTCAATTCTGCGTCCTGATCTTCAAGATCTTCTGAATAAATATGAAGCATTGCGCGATGTAAGTATTAAAAGACTAAAAATTATTAAAATATTAACACGGCAGTGCTTTAGCGCAGAGTACTTTGAGACTTGTACTCTTTGAGAACATAAGAAAGTCACGAGATTCTGTGAATATGAAGGGTGTTCTGAGGATACTTGTGAATTTTGTCAGAACTCGTATCCCATACACGCATGACTAAATGACATCTTTAAGACGTCTTTGTCTAGAACCGAAGAATCTGTCATTTCGTAACCATTTAAATATAATACAATCCCATACAGCACGCATGTCTAAAAGACATCTTTAAGACACCTGTATGGGATTGTATTATATTTAAATGGTTACGAAATGACAGATTTTATTTGGTTTTTAATGACAATCTGCTACTAACATACTGCTATTTTGAGATTCTTAATGTAAGAGAACTTTAAAGTCGGGTCTACAATAGGTGTAATAAGCTTTAATTATTTTAACTGAGATCTAACTAGCTTACTTATAGGGCGCCGCAAACGCTTTTTGCAAAAAAAAGTTAGTTTAGCTTGTTAGATATTTACTATACATCTATTGTAAACCTAGACTAATTGCAAAGATATAAATAATGCAAACAAGTGGAAAGATGCAGCAAGTGACAACTTTTTCGGCATTTTCATTAAAAAAGATTAATTTTAAGTTGATTACAGATTCAATTATTAAAAAGACATCTAGGTCGGTATTCATAGTCATATCTTAGGCCCGGTCTACAATGAGTTGTTAGTCGTTAGTCAGAAGTCGGAACTATATGTCGGTCCTTTTTCTTCCACCCAGAAAGGAAAAGGATCAACATATAGTTGCGACCTCTGACTAACGACTAACGACTCATTGTAGACCGGGCCTTACATTCAAGACCGTCTAGAATTTATCTAAAGATGCTGTATGGAACATTTCACTGGCTATGGAGCATCTAAAGATAATCTTACAACGGTCTTGAATATAAGATTTGAGTATGAATGCAGGCCCTAATGATTTTGCAATACCTCATATACAATATATAACGAATGAGGGAGTAAGCGTGTTTGCGCGTTTGTACGTGTATAAGCAAAGGTATTATTTTACACATACGCGCACACATAAAATAATACCTTTGCCTATATATTTTTTCTGGAATAAAAATTAATTTTACTAGACGTAAACTTTATATACAGAAAGAATAAGAACCGTTGCAATATTGTACTTTATTTCACTTCATATTGGTTTAGCAAAATATATGACGAATAATAGTCTCATGTGTGCCAGAAATTTGCACAAAGTAGTATTAAAAAATATTTATTTTATATGTTTACACAAAAAGTTTATAAAGAGCATCTATTATAATTTGTAAAAATTTTTATTATAAGGAGTTTTATTTTTCAAATGAGATCAATGTTGAAATATTAAACTGTTTATTCAATTTTTAATTGTTTTGGCAAAAGAGTAAAAAGAAATAAACAATTTTCATACGCGGCAGAAATTCTCTGCGCTGTGTGTTTTTAGCGAGCAACAGCAGAAATCCTTAGAATTTGAGCGTGAGCAAACGAACAAAATGAAGAATAAACTCAATAACATGCTAGGTTTGGTATGTTTTGTTATGAAGCGCCTGGATTGTTACAAGACAAGATTGAATAATCTAGAGACAAAGAATAAGGAATTAAATTATAATTTAGCCGTTGCGATACGTGAACGCGATCATGCCACACTCTTAAACAATGCTACGGGTAAAAGCTGAAATCTCAACTGTTCTAATCTCGATTTAAATATCGTTTTGTGTACAATAAGAATTAGAATTATACATGACATAAATTGTACAATGTTTCTGCAAAAATACTTAATACAAATTTAAAAAATGTTTAATAAAAAGATTACAAATAAGAATAATCAAAGAATTGGCAAATAGAAAAATTAATTAATGTCAAAATAGTTTCCGACTTACAGGATCAAATCGACCTTTTGAGCACGAAAATAGCACAGCTCGAGAACGAGCATAAACAGCAATTACTGTTGAAAGATAAATTTAACAAGGATGAAACTTCTAAATATAAACGTCTTTTGGAAAATATGAAGGCGAGGTCGTTTCAGGTATTAATTATTCATTTCTTGTTATGCTTATGTATTTATTAAGCGTTGTAGTGTTTTACGTAGCGTTGTAAAGTTTTGCATAACGACTACAAATTCGTAATTATTTATTTAATTGTATGCAATTAAATTATCCTTAATAAATATATTGAGAAATGTATGTTTGTTATAAAGAAACACAATGCAGTAAGAAAGAACACGTGTAAGAATTTAAAGGAGCATCCTGCCTTGATGGACGAAGAAAACAGGAAACGAAAAGGAAAACTATATGACGAGTAAGAAAAATTATATATGTATATGGTTTGTCTAGAAAGTATCGGGACTGATTTTACTAGCCAAGGAGAAAGGGTGGGGGTGGTCTGTACAGGTAGGAAAATTAGTGGGGAATGTCAGATATACGACGCGACACGGCTCAATTGCCTCTAAGTTTTTGCAGATTGTAGATCACACCCGGAGCGAGCAAGTGTTTTGTGGTGTCGTCTGGAATCAAGATTCAGCGCGCGATTGAACAGCGGTATACGAACAAGTTTTGGATGAAACTGAAACACTAAGACGTCGATCAGAATCCAAAAAGCAAGAATCTTAGCATCGATTTTTTTTCAGATTTTTCAGAAAAACTTTTCAGCAAAGATTTTTCAGCAAAAATCCGGTGCTCTAAGACTCTTGCCTTTTGGACTCTGATCGACATCTTACAATTCACCCACAACTTGATCGCATACCTCTGTTTAATCGTGCGCTGCATTTTGATTTCTGACGACACCGCAAAACACCTGCTCACTCCGGGCGTAATCTACACTCTGCAAAGGCTCAGAGGCAATTGTGCCGGGTTGCGTTGTATACCTGAAGCCTATCACACAATAGGAAAGCACAGGGAATAGGAATAGGGAATAACACAGGCAACAGAAATAACTAAATTCCAACTTACCAGAAACCGTGCATCGACGCACAATGGAATATGGAATAGGCAATAGGAATAGAATATCCGACGCGTTGGATTTCTGTTCCCTATTCCCTGTGCTTGATCTACCTGACCAATCACAGTGGAGACTGGGACAGACACGTGGTTTTAAAATGCAGATGATTGGACAGCACGCCTATTGCCAACGAACCATTGTGTCTTGGCATTACATAGATTTCTATTCCCTATTTCTATTCCCTATTCCTATTGCCTGTGCACATTCCCCACTAATTTTTCTGCCATACAGACCACCCCCCCCCCCCACCCCTTCCCCTTGGCTAGAAAATCAGTCCCGATACTTTCTGGACAGACCATGTATATATTTATTGTATTAGTAATGAATTTATTATTAATAAAATTTTATATTTTTTAAAAATCTTTTAATGTAATATAGTTACATACCAATGGATTTTTAAAAACATTAATAAACAAAATATAGAATAATTTGTTGACGTTTTTGAAAATTCCTTGGTATGTAACCATAGGTATTGCATTAAGGGATTTTGAAAAATGTAAAATTTTGAAATCCGGAAAGATAAATATACAGTGATTCGTATAATTATTAATAACATAAAATTATTACAATTCTTTAAGATTATCGGATTTAGAGGTTGATAAAGTCGTCCGTAAAAGAAGAAGATTATTTCAAGATGACGAGGAAATGACTGACATTATTTAAAGATGATATTATTTATACAATCGATATGCGTATGTATAAATTTTTAATTGTAGTTACACATACATTCATACGTATAGACGTATAGATATATGTACATGTACATTTCATATAATTTTTTTTTTAATTTTATACATAAAAATTTTCACGAAGGAAAATATATCCACATAAGTGATTAATACAATTACTACGAAAAGTTGTAACATCCTATAATTTAAATATATCTGACATACACGGAACAGTGAAACAAACGAAACATGTTAGCAGCTACTAAATAATATTAGCAAAGATAACTGCAAGTTGGCTTTTTCAAGTTTATGTAGAATAGTAATTAAGAATACAATTATATTATTATATAAATATATATAAATATATATAAATATGTATCTTGTCGATAATTAACACTTTTTTAAATATTAACATTATTCCTTTCATTTAAGAACTAAATCCTTTTATTTGCTAATTCGACGATTGAGTGAATTCCAACTGTTCGTATAATCGATCTTTAGATGACCGTATGTATTTAAATGTCCGACATGTGATAATGACGATGGTATTGCCTCCATTATGTATTTTTCTTTATCTACATGTAACACACCTCTTCCTTCTTGTGGAGGAAATCTGGAAATTTCTAAACAAATAAATTACATATAAATGAATAGAGAAAAAAAGCGAGAGAGAAAGAGAGAGAGAGAGAGAGAATATTGTTAATATTTTAAAATACATTTCAACATATTGTTGTATTGTCATTTTTCTTTAAAATTTATAAAATAACGAAATAGAACCATGACTTTATTATATGTTAATGATAAATATTGAAAAATTATTCTGCTATTGTTTTATAAATTGTTAAGCATTGCATATCTTTCATAATGGAATAGGAAATTTAAAATGAGTTAAACAAAAGAGACTGCAAATATATTTTTACACCTCTTTCCTTTAAATCGTGCTACATACATAACTTGCGCGAAAACTACAATCATTAGGATATTCTCGAAGATAAATTATTGTATGCATTAGTGTCACAAATTTTGCGCACAGTTTAACATCTAGGGGAGAAAGTCTATGCTACGAAATACAATTACACGGTGACGATCGATTCGTATAAGAATGCACAAATGCGTGCACGAATGCACCGCGACAGGGAATGCTTACGACAGCGTGTCGGGCCACCGAAGCATCATCATGAAACGACAGTACAAAAACTTTCTAACGCTACAGACAAGAAATCGTTCGATTTCTCGCGGCATACTGAGAAGAGGAAATTGTGGAAAATGTATTATTAAATCATATTCTGTTCTTTTTCCAAATGGAAAATATAAGATTTACAGAATAAATGTTCATAATCCGTAGTTATTATTTCGTGTGATTGTTAAATAATCACATGAAAAAAACGGTTGAAATATTAAAAAATTTTAGCTAGATGCCAATCTAAAAATACTTTTGTCAAATCGTCAAAATAATTACAGGATATGTAGGACATTTAAGCTGGTTGCTACAATGTCAAGACTTTTTGCATCATTATTATTGTCATTAATCATGCTGAGTGATTAGATAATTATTTGGATATTCCAATAAAATCATCTTTAAATTTGTGGCTAAACTTTCAGATACCTCAATAAAACAGTTCTTTTCGCGCAGTGATAAGTAATGAACGCACATATCTTTTCTGGTATTATCATAAATTGTCTCCATGTCATAAATAATATCCTTTCCTTTTGGAAAATTTATTATTTTAAAATCAATTAAATCTGAAAGTTATATAATTAAAGTGTGTGTGTTCGTGTGTGCGGGCGCGCGCGCGTGCGCGTGTGCGTGCGTGCATGTGTGGCATATTGTTACATATAAAGAATAATTAATTAAAAACAGAAATGTTAATTTCTCTTATCAGTCAAAATGATATTAAAAATTAACGAAGTTATAGGCAATCTATTTTTAATTGCTGTTTTGAAAAGATATATTGAAATGATTTGTAATTTAGTATGTATATGCGTGCAGTGTATCACGCGTATGTTAAAATGTATTACTTTAATAGAAAATATAGTTAAAACACCAACTACATCTGCTATTCAGTCTATTTCTGTAGTTTCTTTTAACTCTATTATTTAGTTAAATTATCGACATATTAGTACTGTAGTAACTCATCATTAAGTATAAAACACAATTTAACAGTGTATTATTTTAATCTAAAGATATCTTTAAATATAATTTTCAAAGAATTAAAGGACTCAGAGCCGTGACAGGGTGGCAGGGTCTAAATATTTTATTCTAAGTTTATTGCAAAAAAATATCACCTCGGCCAGGGTTTGAACCTGGACCTCTCTCTCGCTAGGCGGGCGTCTCAACCAATTCGACCACCGAGGCACATGGCAATACTCATCACAATAAACAGTCTAATTATAATGTAGCAAATGCTTGACAAGATTGTAAAGATGGTTCTTACCTTCTTTACTTATATAACTTATAAAAAAACTCATCAAGTAAAAAATTCTTACTTATAAAAAGAATTTAACAGTGTGTTATTTTAATCTAAAGATATCTTTAAGTATAATTATATAATTATACATAATTACATAATTTTATAATTATAATTGTAATTATAATGTAGCAAATGCTTGACAAGATTGTAAAGATGGTTCTTACCGAGTACAGGCGCGTAAACCGGAAACGGTGCAGTGTATTCTATTCTCTCATCTTTGTAGATAGTTTGCTGATAGTAGCTATTGTTTGCTGACCTAACTGGTCTGCAATAGAATTCCTGTGTGTATGGGAAACCGCCACATTCTGGTTCTCTCATTGAGGATAAAGCGTACCTAGAAAATATTGTCAAGATAAATCGGGGAAAGAATTAGAGTTAAGAAAAGGGTTCAGGACTTTAACAGTAGATAGTGCTCATGAAATGCAGCAAACAAAAGTCACAATAAACATAGGTGGAAAAATTTATATTTTCGGAGTTAAAAGGAAGTCATGTGGAAAATTTTTTGTAAACTTTATTGGGACATTTTTGCTCCATTTCGTAAGTGCTATCTGCCTTCTCTCTCTCTCTCTCTCTCTCTCTCTTTCTCTCTCTCTCTCTCTCTCTCTCTCTCTCTCTCTCTCTCTCTCTCTCTCTCTCCCCCCCCTCTCCTTCTCTTAAAGTCTTAAACCCTTTTTTTAACACTGTATATTATATCATTATCAATGTTCAATATTAATCTACTTGAATCTGCCGCCACAAGAACATTGACGACAAAATTAAAGTTTACTCAAATCTGTGGAGTTAACAGAATTCTTTTTTCTATATTATCTTG